TAGCGTCCTTGCTCCTAGTAGCGATGCCAGGAGCCCCTAGTAGCTTCTTGTTCCTCTACGGGCTCACATGGTCTCACAGAGTTAAGGACTCAAAGACCCCCACTGCCGATAGTATGCAACTGTGCGTCTTCAAGTGCACTTGGTTGATTCTGACAATGACATGTTCGCACGCCTGTTTGACTCTCAAGTAAAGCCAAGTCAAGCAAGTGACAGAGTCAGAGGCATGACATCCACCTCAGGCTTATTAAGCGTGAAGGACTCAGATCAAATTTGGTCTGAAAGACTCCAGACCCTTGATAGATCACTGGGTGTATGATACAAGGATTTGCACGTAGATCATCAGAACCTCGAAAGCATCATGTTTCTCTTCCGTTTTTGCACTGATCAAGCCTGTAGCTGATCAAGCTTGACCCGTTGTCGAGTCTCAGGCAGGGACTCTGAGGCCATCGCTAGTGGGTTCCGAAGACGTGGCACCGAAGGTCGCCCGGCACATGCGGCGACCTCGGAGGTGTTGACAGAATCAGATTTGCCAAACCGAGGGGTGCGGTTCGATGCTTGATCACCGAAAGCTTTTCTGATATCACATTAGCATTGTAACAGTGTAAGAATCCAAAAGTCTAACAATGTCTTAGAGTCTAACATCGTAGACTTGACCCCAGGAGTGCAGATAATATTTTTCTGTATAATAACCAGTCACATAGCCTATACAAGTTGTTAGAGTCAAGCATCATCAATGCGTCATTCATTTTTCAATGTCTTGCGCTCGTGCTGTGGTGTACCTGAACACCCGTGTGAGAGATGTGCTCTCCACCGGGTGCATCAGAAGACGCGGCGGTGATGGCCTGTGATGGCCTTTTGCCTATGGCTGCTATGGCTTCTCCGTGGCGGCCTTGCCGAAGACGGCTTGGTAGATACCTGGCTTCCACAAGTGAGGATTCATTCATATTGATTCCATTGACGGTGGGTGCATCTCTTAAGCCTTAAGCATGCTTAAGCCTTAAGCTTTTTTGCAGGTCCATCCGGTCCTCAATCTGAAGACCTTGAGACCAGCAGTTTCATGTGAATCTGGTGTGCTTGGTTGAGGACATGACACACATGCTGGACTTGGAGTTGGATGGGCCCTTGTGTGCCTTGCCTCCACCTGCCTCTCCACCACTGACCGCCGTTTCCCATCTGTAAGGTGATCCAAGCCGGCTTCCAGAAATTGATTGCGAGACTTGCCTGTCGGTGGCCGTGGGGGTTGTTTCCAGACTAGAAGAGACATTCGACTTATGAACCTCGTTGACGTTGAGTTTCATATTTTAGTCAGTGCAAATACCTTGCAGCAGCAGTGTTCTGGTGACCCGCGGATGCGACATGTTGCGACATGAGGCTTCCCGGCATTCCCACCTCCCAAGGAACATACCTTATGGCAGCGATTGCTGGAGCTCCTTTGTCGACATTGTTCGGCGAACCACTGCGTGAGCAACCCTGAGTTGGCAGAAGCCAGGTGCTGAGCTGTATGAGTTTAGTTGAGCGTGGCGCATTGATGCGCATTGTGATGTGGAGCTAATTTTCATTAATTTTTCTTTCGCAGCATCCTCAGACGAGGTGGCCCATGCAGTCATGCAGCTGTACACTACCATGCTGGATCAGGCCAGTTGTGACGCTGTTGAGTGGAAAAAGAGGACTTCACGTTTTGAACGTATTTCCACGGGATTTCAATGACTATTCATATTATTTCATGTTATGTTGGTACCTCCATGAGAATGCAGGGAATACATAATGACATATAATGACATATAATTACATAACCTACTACATTATTTGTTTTTCCTTCTCCACATCCGCATCTTTCCATGCAGAACTTGGAGACCTTTGGCTGCAAACATGGCCTTGTGGCTGCTGTCCTCTTCCACTCCGAGCACGTGGCGTTAGACTTTCGAAGGCCTAGCGCAGAGGTGGAGGCGGTCCGCCAGAGAGGGGAGATGAAAACAGGAACTCTCCGGCCACAGCGGAAGAGGGCGGAGGAACGGAAGTTGAAATGAGCCAAGGGCAGCCAAGATGCATTGTTGGTATGGGTCATGTTCAAGACACCGGCTTGGCTTAGAGCTGTGAAGACCAACCACAAGTTCCTGTGTCGTCCGTGAGGTTGATTCCTGCAGTTGGCAACTTCCACCGTTCCCACAGGTAACACATGTAAATAATTACAAAACACATATCAACACATACAAAACAAGCATGGCATCCCCAGGCACTCTCACCGCCCAAAACGGTGAGCTTCAACTTGACCTTGGACGAGATGCGGGTGGAGCCTGCAGTGGTGGAAGCATGGCTCAGCCAGATGTAGGACACAACCCGTGCGTTTTGGGCATCACTTCTCATCAAACATAACAAGGGACGCTACTAGGAACAAAGGGCATCGCGCCCCTACTAGGAGCAAGAAGCCACTAGTAAGAAGCTAAGTACGAAGCTATTAGAAACAAAGGGCATCGCTACTAGGAGCAAGGACGCTACTAGTAGCTCCTCGCCTTACTACTAGGAACAAGAAGCTATTAGGAACAAAGGGCATCGCTACTAGGAGCAAGGACGCTACTAGTAGCTCCTGGCCATACTACTAGTAACAAGGACGCTACTAAGGTGGAGGCTTCTGCCATGACCGTGCAGCGTGTTGACACGGAATGCTGCATGCTTCTGTAAAACAGAACGTCCACGGAGAAAGGTATAGTATAGTCTCAGTCAGGCTCATCCTCGCCACATGAAGATGTATTACCCAAACATGTCTGAAGAGTGATTCACTTGCGTAGCGGCGTAGCGAAGCACTCCTTGACATCTTCCCGAGGAAACAAGATTGAAATCTGCAGGCGTGCCAATTGCTTTGGTGAACATGTCTTACCTTGAGATTTCTGATTCCGACGGGTATCCGGCAGCTTGAGCCGCAAGTTCTGTGCCATGGCCATGTTGGCTTCGGCTTCAGAAAGGGGCAGATGCCCAGATGTCATGTGTGCAACCACTTGGGCCAAACAGGCCAAACAAACTAAATTCAGTGACCACCGCCGTTTTTGCCTGCAGGTTTTCGTTGGACATTGCATAGATCAACATCTAAACCTCCAGATTTCGCATCTTGACTTGGCGAACGTTAGGTCAGAGTGCAGACTGGCGACGATGGAGTCCACACTCTGGAGTCTGAACGTGATCCAACACACGGGGGCTTTCCCTTGCGCGTGCGTCCCTTGGATTTAGTGCCCAACGTCCCAAAAAGAATTGGTTCCAACTAGCCTGCGAATGAGTTGAACAGCGGCTATGGATGTGACATGATGTAACCGGTCAATTAGAGAGGGCTGAGGTTGGCTGAGGAGGCTGTCGTGCATTGCAGTTTCTCCTAGTGAGTTTGGCCCAAGCTATTTGAAAGGCGTTGGGTTCAGGGGGCCAGATAAGCAGAACCAACGTGGCATGTAGGAGGCTTTCCAGGTGTTTACCGGCGTTCCTCTCTGGCGCTGGCATGTAGCACCTCGTTCTTGAGGCTACAGGGTGCCTCCGACGGAGCGACGGTTCTTCAGTGTGCAACGCTTCTTTGCGGTGTCGCAAGGCCTGGACAATGTGATCAGTTTGATTGCGAGAGTCTTGCCTTGTCCGGCATTTGAGGCCATGAGCACTCGGTGCTTTCGATTTATTTGGGCCTCCCAGTGATGAGCCTGGCGCCTTTCCCCTTTCACACAGTGCCTTGGCAAGTGGCTTTCACACGGTGGCCAACCGGCCTCTAAGAGTGTGTGGAGGGCGTGCAGAGACATGGAGAGATGCACTGTCCTTTCAGGCAAAGCTTTATTCATTGAGGCGGATCGAGCAGGCGGCATTTTTGGTGGTGTGGTTCCTCCAAATTTGGACAGAGACAGAAGTGACAGAAGTGATTTGGTCAGGAAGAGTACGACGCCTTTGTGGCCGATATCTCCATGAAGTTTTCGCGATCAGGTCTTGCACATGTGGTGCTGGACAATGACTACACCCTTCGCTTTTGGGATTCTTGACAGTGAGTGGGACACAAAAAGAAACGAAAGGACACACGTGACAACAACAGAACTCAACTGAGCCAAAAAGAAGCATAATTTGTAGTGAACAGCAAAACAGCCACAGATGATGGTTAGATAAGCTCACCATTTGCTGCAAGGCTCTAAGCTGTGTTTCTCGTTTGGATGCTCTTGAGGATGTGACGGCCAGCCATTCGGATGAGAAAGGCTATTTGCAGTTCCTCAGCCAAAAGAGTCTCTTCAGACTGGTCACATCCCATGAGAATTTACGGCACTGTATGCAATTTTGTATGCGTAACAAGGGCATCGCTCCAGTAACAAGGTGTATCGCTACTAGCGACAAGGACGCTACGAGTAACAAGGGCCTCGCCTCGCTACTAGGAACAAGAAGCTACGAACGCGGCTCTTGGCATCGCTACTAGGAGCAAGGACGCTACTAGGGGCTCCTGGCCGTA